GGATGTGCTCACTGGGACGCGAACCAGCGACTTTCTTGCTGCGAGGCAACAGTGCTAACCACCGAGTAGCAATGGGTGTGGTCATGACAAGGCTGGGCCGAGCAGCCTCACCATGGAAGCAAAATGCACAATTGTTGTAAAATAAAGCATGTTGTTGTTACAGGAGCCACGGTTAAAAGGGTACGTTATAAAAAGGTCTGTGAATAAACAGTAGAAAACCTTGAGCAGACTGCAGTGGACTTCACGGAGCGCAAATCACACTCATTCATGTTGTTCATGTCGGTGAGTAAATAAACACAATCGCTGTTTTTAAATCAGAGTCCAGAATAATGATCTACTGATTTCAGATCAAAACTTGCAATTAGCAAAAGTAGCAATTTAGGAAATCCGTCATGCTGAGGGTTTACAAATAAGCACACTCAACGAAAGCTTGACTTTTAAATAATCATAATGCAACTCAGCATATCAGCAAAACTTGCTTGGACAGAAAAGCAGATTTCATTTAAATATGGAAACACAGACTCATTGCTTCTACTGTCACTGTCACTCCTCAAAGGCCTGTTATGATTCTAGTGTTGTTCTTCGGGATTATAAAGCGTTTACTGCACTTATTTTGTAGCTTAAATGTGTTTTTATACTATCTTACTTAAATGTCTTTAAATTAACAGTCCTTTGAGTTGAGTACAATTTTCCAGCACGTGCAGCCGTCCTGCCTCCTTCAAAGGGTGAAGCACTGACTCTGCATCGCCTTAACGAGCCCACGTGCCCACGATAAGCCCCGGAGCGACAGCAAACACCAGATATAACTGGTTGGTTCAGGTGTACCTGCTGTAACTTGACTTGCAGAAGCGTCGGGCTTTGTGTGCACCTTTACGAGCTCCACCAGTAATTCATTCAGACAGGCCCTCCACACCAACAGAGAGCTGGTGCGTGCAATACTTGTCATTCATGCAACCGCAGACGACACATCAGTTGGCGTATAATACCGCACAAATAAACACGACTACATTTAAACTGCTAGCCACTTATCAAAGTGTGCAAATAACTCATGGTGTAGATTATTAATGATTTCCTAAACACTTACAATTGTCTCCACGTTTGATGGTAATTCAGCTGCTGCTTCACTAACAGAAAAAGAACCATGTGACCTGCTGTTAAATCAATCCGGTCTTCATGTGGGAGAGATTTTTAATTAGTTGTAATTAAAGTTACTGCTGCACACAACTCTCTCACAGATGCAAGACTCGTGAAAACAGCTGGAAGCTTTTTATTATTGCATATGACTGACATATAACTATTTATTTATTTTCCTTATAGTCCACATAAAAACAGCAAAAATGGTAACAGGAAGCACAAAACTATACCCTAAAATTATTATCTAGTGACATAAATAAACTACATTTACAGCTAACTGCGATCAGATTAGTTTATTTTCGCTCATGTAATCCAGAGTCCTTTTCTCACGTGCGCTGCAGACACAGGTATCCTTTCTACTACAGCAGCATTAGGCAGAGAAATCGCCTGCTGTCATCTCAGCTGCACTGGAAACTGAGAGCAGAACCCCGGATAGAATAATCCTTTCAGCCAACATCCTACCATCGACCCAGATGTCGGCGTGGTCTGAGGCTGCGTGACGCTGTGCTAGCATGCGGTCCACACAGAGCTTTTGCATATCACTCCAGTTAAAACAATCCATCAGTGTTAGTCAAACACGCCCGCATGCCATCAGTGAATACAGTTCTTTATGCATACATACATGTGACTGTATGCCAGCATGTATGAGCAGAAACTATTAAAGGGGAAATGAAACGTGTGTTTTTTTTAAAACCATTCGTAGTGCTGAAATATATGAGAAAAAAGTAAACCACTGATGTGAAAAATGTATTTTCTGATTTCTATTAAGCGAAGGCAGTGATGATGAAGTCGTCACGCTGCTGGTTGCTTCTGTCAGTGAAGCATTTGTGAACCACGCTGAACATATTCCAGTTAAAATGAAGCAAGATGACACTGACAGGCCAGTTGAGACCACTGTAAACCCACTGGTGTATGCATTTGAAGCAGTGGTACGTAGAAACCGTGCAATGGTAACTTTTTTTTTTTTTGGCCTTTATTAGATAGGACAGTGAAAGGAGAGACAGGAAAGTGGGGGAGGAGAATGGGGGAATGGGTTGCAGCAAAGGGCCATGAGCGGGATTCGAATCCATGGCCACTGCATCGGAGACTATAGCCCCTATACATGGGTCACCAGCTCAATCGGTTGAGCTAAAGCTGCAGCCCGAGACGATGCAATGGTAACTTTAATTTTCTTCTTGATGCTACTGTTTTTCGTAGGTTTTTTGGGGGGGAGGGAAAGGAAGCTGAAAGGCTTTTTGCACACATTGCAAAGGGAAAACAACTAAATTGGAAATAATTGAGGATTACGTAAAGTTTGGAGTCTTGATTGGCTGCTTTGGAAAACATGAAGTCAAGGTAGGAAATATTTTTAAGATTGTTAGCATCAGCTCTGAGCTCTGGTGAAGGAATCATGTTCGGGTGCATAGAATGGTTGTCGTTAATTTTTTATTTATGAGTCATTTTGGCTCCTAGGGGCTGCAAGGTGGGACGGTGGTTAGCACCGTTGCCTCACAGCTCGAAGGTCGCCGGTTCGCGTCCCAGTGAGGACACCCGGGATCTTTCTGCGTGGAGTTTGCATGTTCTCCCCGTGCAGCGTGGGTTCTCTCCAGGTTCTACGGCTTCCTCCCACACAGTCCAAAAACACGTTGAGGCTAATCAGTGATTCTAAATTGTCCGTAGGTCCTGAGTCAGCTGGGATAGACTCCAGCCCCCCCTGGACCCCAGTGAGGATTAAGCGGTGTATAGATGATAGATGGATGGAATCTGGCTTCTATATTGCCTAGCCAGGCTTCCATCAGATAACTCTGATTCTGCAAAGATGTGAAGCAACTCTGCAGGCTGGAGGACGACAGGTGTTCAGAGTCAAACGTGCTCGGTGAGAGACACTCAGAGAGGCGTTGTGTTGAACTCCAGTGATGATGTTTTCATCAAACAGCTACGCGTCTGTGACAGGTGTCGGCGATTACAGCTCGTCACTTTGCCCCTTAGCGCCGTTTCCCTGCGGCAGACGGATGCCGCTGTACGGCTGTTTTTAGAGTATGCTGGGGGGGTCAGTAGAGCGAACGTTATAGCCGGTGAAGTGGAACACTGACGGGACAGCTCTGTCTTTACACCTGTGAAGCCAAACCACTCTGATGTCACTGGTTTTTGTGCTGCAAAATGGCAGCGCTCTTTGGAGAAAACACACTTCTTTTTCCTTTAATATACTGACATTCTTCACGGTTCTACATCTTCTGATCAGAGTGGAAATACATGCAGTGAATTATGCTAACCTGACTGCTTCATTTCCCCTTTAAAGTCCAAACTGCTGTGGTGGAGCTTGCCTTCATCTCTTTACCTCCACAGTCTATTCTGGCACGACATGAGCCACCAACACGATGATTTAGTCATGACCTCAGAGCTACGTGAATGCGTGAGCGGGAGAGAAACTCGAGAGAAGGGTAGGAAACACGCTAAATGTGGTCTATATCCATGACACCTATTTTTAACTGTGTTCTACAGACCCCGTGACCCAAATAGTCATTAACAGATCAACAGCAATCTGACTTTTAATCCTGCTCTCCCTGTCAAGATCTGTTGGATTATATACTTACAGAGAAGGCAAGTAGCAGACTAGACATCAGGCCATACATACATCCCTCTGCCAGCTCACACAATCCCTCTCTTAAGCTCACGTGTTCATTAACTTGCTCATTCAGTAAATACCTGAATGAGCATCTGCTGCACTGAAATAACCCCACACCTTGTGCGTCCTGCTCGTAGCGATAGCGGGTGCAAGAAACCACTGGTTTTAGATTCGTTTCAAGTCTATCGGTTCATTTTTTAAAACAACTTCGCAACAGCTACAGAAATGGAACTGCAGGGTGTTTGTATTTATGCAAAACAATGATGTGCAGAGAAAAAAAAAAAGACTGAGCACAGATGTGGAAAAAAAAAAAG